ATTTGATCTCTCTTACTTCTTTACGCTATGGAGAGCAGTGCATTCTCCATGTGGCACCCAAAGTATACCGTCTATCTTTACTGCTCTCTATTCCTGCTTTCAGTAATGCCGCGAACATTTCCCTTCTGGTAATCTTTTGTTTCACCTTCGAACCCACCCCATCTCTAACTTGTTGTCCTTGTTTGTCGCTTGCTCGGGCAGACCTTACTCTTCACTTACCAGCCTCCACATTGTTTAACTGTCCTAATAACAAACATATCTGTCTCACTCTCTGTCCCTAGGCTGGCCGTAATAGGGCTAACAAGGGCGCCTCTCATCCAGCCTGGACCACTTTGCATTAGCCGGCTCCTCATTCCAGCTGGACCCTGAAACTGTGGAGAATACATACGTGCTTGTGTAGCCAAATCCCTCAAACGTTTTAATGCCTTCTGGTATGCTCTCCCATTTTTCGACATCACCTTCCCAATTTATCTGGGAAGGGTACTTGTTTCCTACTACTAACGTCAGTGCATTCCGCAATGATCAGTTTGCCCTATGTTTCTAAAGACACTATTCACATGTGGATCAACACTTAGTGCTCCCAGATTCCCCCCCTCAGTAGCACTCAGCATGATATGGGCGGCGCCCTGGTTGCATGGCCATGCCATCGAAGAAGCTGAGGGTTCGCCCAACTTCTGCTTAAAGCATGACCATAAATCCTGCAATTCAGACATAAAGTAATCTCTCACTAATGTTGAATTTTTGTGGGTTCTGCCCTCCTATCTGTTTTTCTTTATTGTTGTTATTAGTGCTATTAGTCCCTTCTCTGTGAATGGCTCCGGAGATGGAGCATCCCCTTCCTGGTCTGTTTATTCAGACTCTGAATCAGATGAATACCGAATGTCCCCATCCCAATGGTTGGGATCCCATTGTGAGGTTAATAACATGAGCACTTTGACAGGGTCAACTTTCCAGTTGTGCTGTTTAGCTCTCTACTTCTGTTGTACCGTCACCAGACGGCATGCTATCAGGTTTCGTTTTTCCTCTGCCTTCTCAGCTCTCTCCTGCGCTGTCTTAAAACCTTCTGTTAGGGTAACATTACACTGTTCTACTGCCATTATGTGGCCTCAAGCTGCCTATTTTTGGCCTGGCACTCTTCCAATTCCCTACATGTAGAATGCAAAGCTGTTAACAATATCCATCCCATTTGCGGTACACTGCCCTTTCTTTTGGGGAGGCCTGTCTCCTGCAAGCACTCATGAACAGCAGCCTGTATGAATAATCCTTCATTCTGTCTGTTTCCAGTTATAACTGTGCCTCCCCCCACCACCCCCCAAAAAAAAAATTCGGGTCCTAACTGTGCTAATAAGTTAGCTGTGGACCTAAATCTGGAGTCTGCCGCATTCTATCTCTCTGGAGCATCAGGTTGCCTTTTCCTTCTCTTAAATATTTTTCCAAATCCCATCCTCGTTACCAAAAATGCCTTGGATCACAGCATGTAACCAAGCGGTTCTTTTCAGGTTCGGGTAAATATAGTTAAGAGAAGGCTCGTCTAACAACAATTTGCTTAAATATGAATTATTATTACTCAATAACAATGATTGTAGTGGTAATAGTAAATGGAAGAGAAAAGAGAAAAAGCAACAAGTCTCATGCCCTTCTGCCCATCGGGGCCCCTCCATTGATGGCTGGTCTAGGGGCTTAGCTTCATTCGTGGCACCGTTCACGATTCCGAGCCAAGGCAAAGTCCCCCGCTTTGGAGCATGTAACAAACAGCCAGCACAAAGAAAGCAGATACAGAAAAGAAAACACAGCTACAGAAAAACAAGTTGCAGATGTTGTCTTCGGCCTGTGAAGGAATGTTAACAAGACTCATGCAGTTTGTTGAGTGTCATCAACAATTTTAGCCATTCAGTCCATCCTATACAATCTATCTTCTCATGCAGCTGTCGAATATCATCATTACCTTTTAGCCCTTCGGCCCATTCTATACACACTCCCTCCCTGGTTATACGCTCTTCCACCCTCTTCTATTGGGCAGCAGATAGAAAAGTTTGAAAAACACATACCAACGATTTAAGAACAGCTTGTTCCTCACTGTTATCAGACTTATAAATGGTCCTCTCATATAGTAGGGTTGATCTTTCTCTGCACCTTCTCTGTAGCTGTAACACTTTGTTCTGCGTTCTGCTTTATTACCCTGAAGAACATATGTAAGGTATGATTTGTCTGGTTAGCATGCAAAACAATACTTTTCACTGTCTCTCAGTACATGTGAAAATAATTAATCAAATCAAAGTAAGTAATAGCAGGTTAAATCATCCGATTTACAAATATCCCCACCCTCAATGGTGGGGGAGCTCAGCCTGTCAGTGCAAAAAGCAAAGTATTTGCATCCATCTTCAGTGGTAAAGTGGTGAGTGGATGATTCAGAGACAGTAGGAACTGCAGATGCTGGTGAATCCGAGACAACAAGGTGCAGGGCTGGATGAACACAGCAGGTCAAGCAGCATCATAGGAGCAGAGAGGCTGACGTTTCGGGCCTAGACCCTACATCAGAAAAAAGTGGATGATTCATCTTGGCCTCCTCTGGGCTTCCTCATGGTCATAAATGCCAGTCTTCAGCCAATTTGATTTGAGTCTATGTGATATCAAGAAATGGCTGAGGACATTAGAATCTGTGAAGGCTGTGGGTTTTGATAACATTATGGCATTAGTCCTGACGACCTGTGCTCTATAATTAGCTGTACTCCTATAACCAGCCAGTGCAGCCTTAGCATTGGCATCTACTTGGCAAAATGAAAAATTGCCCAGGTATGTCCTGTCTACAAAAAGGACGACACATCCCACTTGTCCAATTACTGCTTATCAGTCTACTCTTGATCATCAGCAAAGTGATGAAAGGGGTCATCAACAATGCTATCAAGGAAGCAGTTACACAGCAATAATCTGCTGACTGACACTCTGTTGGGGTTACTCAGTTTCTGACCTGATTACAACCTTGGGCCCAACATGCACAAAAGAGCTGAACTCCAGGGGTGATGTGGGAGTGAAACTGTCCTCTGGGTGGAGGAAATGGGTGGAAAATGTCAGAGGTCATTCATCTCAGCCCAGTACATCAGTCCAGGTGATCTTCAGGTAGATGGCTAATGCTGTCAGACTGTCATGAAGTATTGGTTAGTTTCTCTCTTTTTGGAAATGGCCATTGTTTGGCACTTGTGTGACACAAATGTTACTTGCCACTTATCGGCCCAAAACTGGAAGTAGTCTGTTTCTAACCATGCCACAGCATTGAAAACGCCTATCCAAGATCACACATAATATCTTCTTTAACTAAGACTGTGATGAATTTTCACTCCTGGTCTTTCTAAGCATATCTGCAGCCTTTGACATAAGACTGATGCCTGTTCTCCATCATCCTGTTCAATGTGACTGCTCTCGTTTGATTCAAACCATGGCCAGAGCATGTTCAGAAATGAAAACAGGAATCTGGTGCTCTACTCCATGTGGTTTTCCTACACACCTTTAATTTTACTAGTACAGATTGATTAAATCATACAAAAAGGAAAATCCACTACGCGTTAATGAGAACACAATTGTAATACATGTGCTGTAAGTTAGTCGAATTCCACTGACATCAAAGCAGTCCATTGATAGTTCTTTGATGCTAAAGTCCAAAATTCTGAAGACTACCTTTCTTTTCCAAGCTTGTTGTAATTGTCAACTTTAAATTAATTCTTCAATTGCTACTGTTTCATTTTGTTGCTTGTGAAATTGCGGTTGCGCAATTATACTTTCTGTTCAGCATGTCCGCGGAAACACCTCCAGCAATAGCTGTTGCTTCCAGCCCCTAGACTATTACCTCTGAAATTCTCCAAGATGTATCCTTGTTGCCAAAATCCTCTTTATTCAAATGCTTCCCTATAATTTTCCATAGAAGGCTTCTAGATTGCTTCACAACATTGTTCTACCTTTCCAACACTTTACTGTGTTACATTGTGTTGTTTGAATGATTTTGTAGCTTGTAGTTTCACAGTAGATTCCTCCATCACCTTTTTGAACTTCAAAGTTGTAACTTTTGATATCCTTCGCACAATGTCCAAATACTTACCATTGATTCTGTTCCACTCCCACGGCTTTTTTGAGTCAAATTAAATGTTTCGCAATATATATTATTTTTTTGACCTGAACTCAGCTTCTGAGCCCATATCTTCTCCATCACAGGAAGACTCCTTGCACTTTCAGAGCATTGGCTGCCTCTGTCTTTTCGTTGGCCTAGACTTTGCTAAAATCCACACAAAAGCTACTGTTACCTCTCATGTTAATTAAAACAATACTCTCCTGGTTGACCTCACTTCGCCTTGGTATTTATGTGCTTCAACCCACCCAAAGTCTGGGGTTGGAACTGCTATCTATTTTATATCATACATCTATCCTACTTACCAACTTTGCAATCCTTGTTGACCTACAGCGACTGCCAGTCTCCCCACATATTCAGTTTTTACTTATCCTGTGTTTAAATCTCTTTATGACCTTCTTTCTGACACTTCCTTCAGCTTTATATTTTCTCAGCACTCTTCATTCCTCCCACTTTGTTCACTTGGGCATCCCCCACTTTCGTGACCTCACCATTCGTGACCACCAAAATCCCTCTCCTTATCCATCTGTTTTATCTCCTGTGTTTCATATCCTTCTCATTAATGACCGTCATTAATACTCACTTCATTTATTAAGCTTTTTGTCACCCATCCTAATTGCCTGCATGGATTAGCATTTTTTTTCCTGTTTTTGACATACATGAATGGTGTCACCGATGCCAACCATTTTTAAAATAGGTAACAGTTGGTATCAGCTTAACTTAAAGAATGTCCAAATGAAACCTGTTGTACTGGCGATATCTAGATAGAAGGACAAATGAATGTAAGCAGACTCTTTGCACTTGCTGTATTGTTAGGATCTGTAGAATCAGGTGAAGTAGACTGTACAGTGCAGGACTGAAACCACTCTTTTTTTTGTTTCAGGACACAGGATGAGGCTGCGCAACAAGTGACTGAGCTTGAGGAGGATATAGACCAGCGAATAAAGGTTGCGGTTCAGAATTGCCAAAAAGAGGTGAGATTATAAAACGTGTTCCATCCCTTCTGGAGTAATGGTTTTGACCTTACTGCTCAAAAGCATAGGTAAAAGCCGAGATAATACTGTGGGATTTTTTTCTTTATCAACTAAATGTAGATTGCATTCATGTCAAGGGTAATTCGAACTTCACCACTTGCCTATTATAGAGTCCGTCTGATGTTCATCACATTGTAGTCAGTTGCTTTACTGGGATGCTGCTCAGATGTGAATTTGAATATAATTTCATAACCTTTGGTATGGGCACAAATAGCTTGCCACTAGATTTTAATTCCATACTGCAGTACACCCTGAAATTACTGCATGATATTTCAAATGAAGTATTACAGGAAGAAATTTCAGGTAACCTTTGTGTTTTATCCCACGGTAGAATTTCAGAACTCATTACTCTGTGTTTAGTGGTGCTATGCCTATTTAGAAATGATTTATTGACACTCTAGAGCCTGAAATGGAAAAAAAAGTTCCATTTGAGTGCCAATGTCCTTCGCCTTTAATGAGCCTGAAATGCAGCACACACGGCAGATTTTTCAAAGACAACATTGTATTTACTGCAGTTTGCATTGCTGTGGACATGCCTTTCCATGCGTGTTCGTGTTGTGGAAAGCAAACAATTTTTACAATAATATTTCACACCTTACTTTGACGTCCTTTATGTTATAATTGTCTGCAGCAAACAGGTGCTAGAGGAAAGGCAATGCTGATAACATACAGCATCAAGTGTATTGTGGTTGTTAAATATTTACTTTCTTGTTTATGACCTTCATCTGAAGTTGTTAATTCACATATGCACCTGTGTCCTGATCCCATCTGTAATATTACTGGATGCAGTAACCACACTTATCATCCTGTCACTCTCTTACCTATAATCGATATATGCAATTCTACATTCTGAATAAATTGTGTTCCTGTAAACCTTTGGCTTCAGCTCGGAGGCTGACTGTAACTCAGAGCAATAGGTTCATTTCACAGATCAAAATTGAAAATATTTCAGAGGTGTGCTGAGTATTATATTCATATTTATCAGTTTTTTGATTTCAAGATACCTTCATGTTTTTTGCTGTGTAATATTTTCCATGCTTTATAAATATAACCTGAACCATCGCAATGTAATCACTGTTCAAGTAAATATTTAATAATTTAAAAATGATATTTGAGTAGTTTCAAATTAGTAAGAACTAGTTGCTTCTAAATAACATTTCTGACATGTAAAGGAACATACATGTAGTTTTAATCTGGGACAAATGCTTTATAGATTTTTTAAAAAAGTGCCTGATCTCAGATTTTGAGCTCAAGCGCTTTGGAAAGAGTTTATGCATTTAAAACCTAGTGGGTCAGAACAGTTTGCACCCTCTTATAATTGTTTTTTATTGAGATTTGAAGGTATGAATCTCTTCACATTTTAGTGGTGTAGTCATGTTGCTGTGGCAACAAATTATCATTGCAAAGCATATCATTATCTTGGAGTTGGGTGGCACAGTATGTCAGCGCAGGACCTTTACAATTCTGACCTCTGCTTTAAATCAAGCATGACTCAGAAATAGAAGTTTCTTTCTGACTGTAAGGTTTTTTTCTGAATTGAGTTTAGACAGACTCAATTCAATTGCAGACACGGTATGAAACTCTTCTTTGACATTGCTGCTAAGAATTTGATAGATGTTTCAGTAATGCTCCGGAGCAGAGACCTAATTTGAGTCCTTTAGCTGTGGTTCTTGAGAGTATGAGATTTAGGAGTTGTTCTAAGGCTCCTGACATTGTTGCTCACGGATGGCTTCATGTTCTTGCCATTTGAGGTATAATTAATCCTTATCCTCTCATTTATAGAAAAGCACATTATTATGGCAGAAGTGCAAATTATGTGGGGTGTCAGTTATTTTGCTAATTATGTACAAGAGAATATTACTAACACAAATTACGCTGCATTGAGGTTTCAACCAGCAACATTTTTGTTGTGTTATGTAATTTGTTTTTATATGGCTCAAACTATTTGGCTTTATGATTACAGGAACAAAGAAAAGCTGAGTTTGCTTTCAGTAACCTAAAACATCAATATGATGCTAATGTAAATGAACTCCAGACAACAGTCACAAAACTGAAAAAGGTAAGGATTGTCTCTAAAGCTGATTTTAAAATACCATGAGAGTGCAATCTGAAGGAATTTTGACTTATTTTGCTCAAAATCAGCATCAGTTAAATTATAGAAAATGCAAAGACAAGTGGAATTACCTTTGCCAAGAGTTGTGAACCCATTTGAGATACATTTGCATCTCATGCTTGCTGATTAAAAGGCTAGGTCAGTAGAGTTAAATTCAGTTTGTCAGTGAGGTTTTTCTGCAAGTGAGCAATGTATGTCTGCTATTTCTGACTGCATACAAGAATACACAGGCAAGTATCTGCTGCTTTACCCTCTTTGGGAAAGTTTGTCCATGCCAAGCCATGATTGAGACCAGGTGGCAATGGTCAAAGTTGCAGAGAAGGCAGAAGGGTGACTGCAGTGTATTGGGCTTGAAGGTAGAAGTCTGTCTATCCAAAGGCAATAGGCAGACCAGGGCAAGGTGGAAGGGACTCAATGTTTCAATGCAATCATCCATTCTGAGAACCCAAGTGATGCCCTGGCTTGCTATGTGTGAATGCCTTAAAAATGGTGCCAGAATCATTGACCCCATAAGGTAAAGGTAGGGGTGTTAACTTCTTGCCCATATCACTTACAAAATTTGCCAGTCTACTCATACCTGGTTCTGTAATGAGCTGAGAATTGTATGATCACATTAGAAAAGCCAACCTGCTCCCAAGTGGAAGTGATGCTTACTTTCATGCCTGGTGCTGAACATAGCCTGTATAATGGAAGATTTTACCCATTGTAAATTTGTACACGAGTTGTCATCCTGATTTGCTTTCATTCAACATGATGAAAATCTAGAAACATTTCCTTTTCCTTACAGTTAGAAGAACAATACAGATCATTTAGTCCAAAGGAGGAGACTATTGCATTGAAAAGAAAAATAAATGATTTTACCTTGGTAAGAAAACATACTTTTGCTCAGGTTCTGTCAGTGGGATATTACTAAATCTCTTGAAATGCAGATAGTATTCAACAAGTAGATGTAAATCCAGTTTTGCAATTAAGCATAATTAATTGCAAAACTGGATTGGAGGAGGCAATGGCCTAGTGGTATTCTTGCTGGACTGTTAATCCAGAGACCAGATAACATTCTGGGGACCCAAGTTCAAATCCTGCTAGGGCAGATGGTGGATTTTGAATTCAATAAAATATCTGGAATTAAGAATCTAATGATGACCATGAACCCATTGTCGAAAAAACCTATCCGGTTCACTAAAGTCGCTGGGGGTAGGAAACTGCCGTCCTTACCTGGTCTGGCCTACATGTGACTCTAGACCCGCAGAAATGTGGTTGACTCGAAAACTGCCCTCTGGGCAATTAGGGATGGGCAATAAATGCTGCCTGGTCAGTGACGCCCTCATCTCGTGAATGAATAAAGAAATAATTGTAACAGTGTTCTGGATACAATTTCTGGGAACATCTCTTGTATACTTTTCCAAAACCTTTTTGGTATAATAAAACAAATTTTAAGATTAACTGTAACCGAACCTAATTTGCCAAAATAAAATTAGGCTGTGAAAAGTAAAATCGGTTGATGCATTTCCGGTGTGGCTGATATGTTCCTGCCTGTTTTGTGCTACGTAGATTATGTTAAAATTGTTCTGTTACTTTTAAGTAAGCAGTAGCTTTGTAAGAAAAAAAACATAGCTTTGTAAGAAATTTGAAGAATTTACACTGACGTGCATCACTTCGATTGTGGCAATAAAGTTTTTAACTTTGTGAATAAGGAAAATCCTAACCTTTCAGATACATGATCATGTGGTCAGTTAGTTAATAATTTATTTACTCTGCTTTTGTTTGCAAGATTGTATAAACTGAAATAGTAAACCCTGCTACAGAAAGTGAGCCTTTGAAATTTTGTCGACAACTGTCACATTGCATTAAATTTCAATAATTTAGATTGAAAGAACTGTGGACGCTGTAAATCAGAAACAAAAACAGAAGTTTCTGGAAAAGCTCAGCAGGCCTGGCAGCATCTGTGAAGAGAAATCAGAGTTAATGTTTCAGGTCTAGTTCTGAGGTAGGGTCACTGGACCTGAAATGTTAACTCTGATTTCTCTTCACAGATGCTGCCAGACCTGCTGAGCTTTTCCAGCAACTTCTGTTTTTACATTAAATTTCAGTTTATTCATTTAGGTGTGAAGATTCTAGATGTTTCAAGCATTCATTTGAAGATGTTGAGCAGCATTGTGCATCAAGTGCAAAATCATGAAGTGAATTCCGTGCTTACATTACTATTACCCACATCTGAAGGCAGTTGTTCAAATATCAGCCATCTTTACACTGTATACAGATGAATGCTTGTGGATTTCAGTCAAAGAATTTTTTAAATTACTTCATCCAATGGCATCATAACTTTTATCCAGTGAAAAACTGGTTGTGATATTGTGGAAGTACATCCCCAATTACTGGTGAGTTAGTGTGAAGGCATTAAAACTAACCTGTGCTGCTCATTACTGGGGAGAGGTGAAAAGACATGCCACATCTGATTGCTAGAAGTGTGCTTTATGAATGTTGGTGAGGACAAAATCAAGCATTACAGTGTTGCTTCCTACATCTATAATTCTTAAAGTTCATTGTGTATAGTTCCATAATTGGAATTCTGTACAATTACTCCAGGAAGGGGAGTACTCCTTAAGCATGAATAGAAGGATGAAAATTGGCAAGATAGAACTATCTTTGCATTTGCATTCTCTTCATTCTCCCATTACACACTCATGGTGGCTCAAAAGATGGTGTGGTAACTTGCTCCCAGTTTGCAGGGATCTGTTCCCTAACTGATGTACCTTCTTAGACCATGTACAAAAGTAACATCAGAGCACCTTGTAATGGCTAATTCCTTCACCTTCTTCCTTCTGGGACAAATACTTGACCTACGTTTGGTACCAGGAGTCATTTGCTTGGCTGTATGACTGGTTTGCAATGCAGAGTGATGCCAACAGTGCAGGTTCAATTCCTCTATCAAGTAAGGTTGTCATACAGATCACATCCTTCTCAATCTTTGGCCCTTAACGTGAGGATCACTGAGCCTCAGGTAAATGTACCACCAGACATCTCAATCTAACGAGAGAGCAGCCTGTGGTCAGCTAGGATGAGAATGACTTTACCCTTTTTACCTGGCCTACATGTTGATTTGTAGTGTGTTTTGTAAATGTGGTGCAATATATTGTTATAAAATCTGTTGTAAATTTAAAATAGTATATAAACAAAATCTGTGAGCAAGGGTGTTGAGTCTAAAACAGAATTCAGCAATGTTAATGCTGTTTTTATTTCTTTTACAGGAAAATGATAAACTGAGGAAAGAACTACTTGAAGCACAGACAAACATAATGCTGCTGCAAAGCGAAATAGATACTTTGAAAAGTGACTATGCAGATCAAAGTTTGAATTTAGCTCGGTAAAATAAATAGGATGAAGACTTCAAGTTAAATTGTATTCACTATTGTTGCTTTGTGTAAAATGCACGTTTTAACTTCACTTCGTTTTACTTCTATTGCAGGAATCATGAGATGGTCATAGGGTATACAGATGATAGGGACAGCCTAACACGTCAGATTGAAATGCTTCAGTAAGTATCTTTACTTTAAACTGGTAAATACTTTCTTGTGTATGTGTTGCTTCTGAATACTTTGATCCTTTATAAGCTGTTGAATTCATATTTTCACAACATGGTGTGAACACTTAAAATGATAATGGATGTAGCAATACTACATGTACATTTGTAGCATGAGAGATGGTGCTAGCTAATGCCCAGACAGTGTGAGCTAGCTGAAATGTTTCAGATGGATGTATTCCTGTATGTGCTCAAAGTTGTTGAATGTGAGAGATCAAGATACCACTGGCATTCATCAACACACCAAAGTCAATGTACTAAAATTGATTAACCAATGTGCAGGCTATGCCTTTTTTATTCACAACTGAAACAAAGACTTTCAGAAACAAGATGAAGTCTGTTCTAGGGCTATTTAAAGGGCAACTCTGCAATTGGAAGTTTTTGCTGAGGGGGGACAGTAGTTGCAATGTCACATTCTACAACATAAGCAGAACATGCAGAGGAGGACATAGACAGGAGAAATAGGATACTCCTCAAGAAGTGTGAGGCCAAACCAAGAACTCAATCACTGAACACTTGCTATTGTGCCAATACATAGGGAAGGTGATGGCCTAGGGTATTATCGCTAGACTGTTAATCCAGAGACTCAGGTAATGCTCTGGGGATTTGGTTGAAATCCCACCATAGCAGAATTTGAATTCAACGAACCTGAAATTAAGTAACAGTCCAATGGTGATCATGAAGCTATTGATGAAGGAAAAAAGATCTGGTTCATTAATGTGCTTTTGGGAAGGAAACTGCTGTGCTACATGTGACTGCAATTGACAGTGTTGTGGTTCATTCTCAACTGCCATCTGGGAAATTACTCTGGGAAATTAGGAATGGGCGACAAATCCTGCGCTAGCCAGTGATAGGCACATCCTGTGAATGAATAAAATGCCCACAGTATTTTTTAACTTTGCAACAGTCAGAAAATACCACCCTTTTCCAGGCAGGCAACAGGGTGTCTGCTTGACGATAAAGGTCAACTCTGCTACATATGGCCCATGATCACCTTCCACCATCCCATTATGCAAGGCCTTCAATGAAGCCACTCACACATTCTGCTGCAAGCAATCGGAATCCTAGAAGAGATTTTGCTGTTTAGATTAAGTGGGGATATTGGCAGTTCATATCTGAGTGCGTATCTGTTTATGCAGTGGTGCTATGTCTTTTGTGACCTTGCAGTTATGTGGGCCTAGCTACTTGATCTTGGGATTTCAAGGCAAAGGAACAAATGGAGGAGGAAGGGTGATCACATGCATCAAGCGCAATTGGGATGCTTGAGAAGGACCACAGTGAAATTTTAATTCAGTTGAATGAAACTGTAGACAATAACCCTAAAATTGCTATGTCAGCCAAAATGACTCCCCATGCCAAACAATCAAGGTGATTGAATTTCATGTCAATAATCTATCAAACTACTCTTTACTAACTTTGGACTGTTCCTTGGTCAGGTGATAAAGTTGCTTGGTTTGTTGCTAATACACTGATGAGAAGGGATTTCCCTCCTGCCATGCTTAAAGTACACTCGTGATTTCCCTCCCCCCTCTGAAATGCAACTTTCATAAAAAGGTCCAATCACACTTAAAGCCATTTTTTTGAATACAGAGCAGTTCTGGGAGGTCTTGGAACCTCCTAATCGCTTATAGAAACCTCAAAAAAAGCAACCACCTTTTAACTGCTGCTAGGCTCTCATTGTCATCTCTCCTCTCAATGGAACAGTGTAAATCAGTGAAATTAGCAAACTATGGGTTCATTTTTCCAGACATGCCTGGAAGTTTACATTTTTAGTATTATCTGTTGTAAAATGTTATGGCCTAGATTTTGTGGAAGTAACAGTAATGTTACTGTCATCCTCATTACTTCTGTGAAACAGACAATCTCTGGAGTTTGCACATGTGCAATTAGACATGTAAATTTCCATCAGTGATCGTTTCCCCACATGCTGCATTGTTTAGGTTCCTGTAGGCTACTATCAATTAGAAGTCACTTAAAAAAAGAGATATTTTACATTGTTTAAAATCTCTTGAAAATGTTAAATCTGTTGAATGAGATGTAACTAGTTTTTAAAAGCACACTAGGTTCATAATTACTGTAAAGCAGCTTCTATGTCCCAGAGCAACTAATTTTATACTCAGAGTGTGTTCCCATACAGTACGCTATCTCCTATGATTTGTTATGGACTTTGATCCATCTGCATGCGCACGCACACCCACACCGTTTGTATGAAGGCATTTAAACACATTCTATGTGTAGTGTAAAGGGAGAGTAGTAGTCACTGGAAAAGTAATTTCTAAACATTACTACTTCCAAAAGGTGGAAGTTAGGGGTTTACTAACACTAGAGTGCTTTATAAAAACAGTTTCAAGAATGAGAAATTTTAGTTATGAGGATAGATTGGAGAGGTTGGGAATGGTTTTTCCTGGAGAGAAGGCCAACAGGAGATCTAACAGAAGTTTTAAAAATCATGCGGTCTCTGGACAAGGTAGACGGAGTGAAGCTGTTCCTGTCTCTAAGAGGATTGAACACCAGAGGGCACAAATTTAAAAGTGTTGTGCAAAACATGGGCTAAGAGAAAAACTTCCACAGCGATTAGTTCAGGTTTGGAATTCACTGCCTGGAAGAGTGTTGCAAGCAGGTTTAATTGAGACGTTCGAGAAGGATGATTATTTAAGTAGAAACTAAATGATGTGCAGTGTATCAAGGAAAGGCAGAAGTTTGACACTGAAATGCCCAAGAGAGCTGACACAGATATGAATGGCTTAAAGTTGTTACAGTGTAGAAAAAGGCTGTGATCTTGTGTGAAATGCCAGAAAGAGTGGATTACTTTTTTTGTAGGAGCGGTGTTTTGTGGGGAGCAGGGTAATGTTTGTTGCAGAGAAAATGTTAAGCACATAGTGGAGCATTCTAGACCTGTTCCCCTCAGTATGATTATTTATAATATGACCACTGCTGAACAATTTGATCCCCCCTGGACTTTGACTTTGAGCCCAATTCAAACTGGGGTCAGGAAAAGTGAATCCAAGCCACAAAGATTGATTTCTTCAAAAAAAAATTCATTGCAAGTGCTGTCGTTTTGTCAATGAGCACAAAATCCAGATCTAGGAAAAGTATAAATCCAATGCCCCTAAATATTCTGACAAAAGGGCTTGAATTTCTCTCTCTTGGCATATAATGTTACATCCTTCTTGAAGAAATCAGTCGTCTTTGAAATGCAAGTTTGATATCTGTTCTTTCCCCATCCTTTTACAGGTCAGCTAACAGAAAGCTTCATGACAGCAATGATGGTTTGCGATCTGCCCTGGAAAACAGTTTCAGCAAACATAAAACTTCTTTGGTGAGTGTACAACTGGAAACATGTTATTGTCATGTAAGTGGATTATGCTTGTAATGTGAAGCACATTCTCTTGCACATTGACTAAACATGTTACATTTTTTTACTTAAAACCCATATGCACATCTTGGGAGTGTAAGCTCTTTTTACACTGCATTGCGAGGTGACAAATTTTACTTCCAAATCCGACTCCTAGATTTGAGCATGCACTTCAATGCAGCTCCAAAGAGAAAGTACATTTTAAATAAGTCATTGTATCGAATCTCTAGCTGCTTGCTCAGGATGCAAAACGTCTCATGGAATTATTAAGCATAATATGGGAGTGTTCTGTTGATGTCCAGGTTAATATTTAACTCTCAGCCAATACTACCAAAAACCACAAACTGACACGTTTCATTTTACTGCAAGTATGACCTCACTGAACAAAAGTGATGACACTTCACAATGTACTCCGTTGAGGAGATAGGCATTTTAAGGCATCTCAAGAATGGACCCATCAGAATTGGGCTTGTAGCTGGTAACATTCACACCACAAATGCCAGTTAACACCATTTCCAATGAGAGAATTCCACCATCTTACCTTGACATTTAGTGGCATCACCACCACTGATGCCCCACTGTGAATATCCTTGGGTACTGATGACCAGAAACTCAATGGAACCAACCAATGTAAACATTGTGCAGAAAAGAGCAAGTCAGACGAAGAATTCTGTGGAGAGTAGCTCATCTTTTAACTCCCAAAGCCATCATCTACAAGGCAGAAGTCAGAAGTGTGATGGAATACTCCCTATTTGTGTAGATAAGCGCAGTTTCAACAATAGTCAAGAAGCTTAACACCAGCCAGGACAAAGTAGCCCACTTGACTGCACTGTAGTGACTGCACTCATTATTCAGTCTGACTAACATTGCCACATGGTGGCAGCAGTGTGTGCCATCTACAAAATGTACCGCAACAACACTTCCAAATCAACAACTTCTACTACATAGAAGGGCAAATGCATCAGATGCATGGAAGCACCACCACTTGGTAGGTTCCCTCCAAGCCACACTGCAATCTGACTTGGAAATGTATCACTGTTCCTTACTGTCACTGGATGGAAGTACTGGAACCTCCTCCCTAATTAGCACTGTGATGTACCTACCCCTGCACGGACTATAGTGGTTCAAGAAGGCAGCTCACCATCACTTTTGTCCTTTTTTTTGAGGGGGGAGGAAAGGACAATCATGACTTGCAATAAATGGAGGCCTAGCCAGTAACACCCACATCCCATGAATGAATTAAAGGAAGAAAGGTGCTACATAAATTAATCTCTTTATTCAGCTTCAGCTTAAATCACATCTACGCCATGCACACAAAACTTTGTTTTATATATGAGCTAATGATTCTGCATATTTAATTAAACAGTCATTTGACACCAGTGATGTTATTGTGCTATGCTAAATTCAGAGAAAACAGACTTATTTTGGGTTTGAAGCAGCAAAATGTACTTAAATCTTTACAACTAGAGAGGAGATCTTGTAAACTTAAGACCTAGTGGGAGCCGTGTAATAAATCCCGACTATCCTTAGCCCTCCGCCAACAGCTTTCTGAAGAAAGAGCTTAAGACTTTTACATGCAAAATATTATTACGTACAAGTGACTGGAATTTTCAATAATATTGCAGCATGCAACAAGTTCCTCACCAGGAAATGCCATGTTTAGAAGTAGCCCAAAGCATTCTGGATACCAGTCTCCTCAGATTTTACCATATGACAGGCAAGTATTCTTTGCACATCGTAAAATCATAACAATTTTTGTTCAGCAACCAGGTGGTCTCTGCCGACTAAAAAGCAACGAACAGATGATCCTGAAATGGATATCAGGCAAAATCGTTGGCCTTATTACGCCTGCAAAAAAAAATGAAGTGTGAGCAATTCAATTATCAGTTTGTCATTTACAACATTCTGTACTCATTCATTTTCAGAAAGACAACCATCTAATAATTTTAGAATGCATTGTCACTCAGTGATACTGATGCAAGATAATTGGCAAGAAATAAGAATAATTTGAGAGTTGACGTGTTCTGGAATGTACTGGCTGAGAAGGTGATGGAAGCCAGTAAACACTAGCAACCACCAAGTGATCAGGATTTTTATCTGAAAATGAAGGCAGAGGTGACATTTCTACAGGGTTGGGGAAGGCCTCCCCACCAAAGAGAATGGGAGTGGGTAACCTGGAAAATCAGTTCCTGGGGTCTCATATGACATCCTGAATGCAGTGCTGGAAAAAAAAGTATAACATCCTCACTATGGTGGTCATGTTGAGTGAACATGTTTTTTCAAAATGCGATCTTCTATCTACAGCACCACGGTCTTGCACACTGCTCAGTTCATGCTGACCCAATCAGAAATCAGGGCAGCCTAAATTTCAGGTACTGAATTCAGCTGTGCCTGACTCACCTGCTCAGCAATACTACCAGCCTCCAACCTGCGTCCGTTTTCACATTTTTCCCAAACATTTAGCCGAGATAAGCGCATCACCCAAAACACATTGCAAGATTCTTCCCTTTGTTCCTTTGTATGAATGTTTAGAAGAAAAAGCTGTCAAGCACTTTAGGATTTGATGTTGCTAAAAAGGTACTTTATATTATGCAAAAATCTTTACAATAAAGCTACAATTTTACCTCCTATTTTTAATAGCAAGGTAACTGAGCTAACTTCTTTGTAAATACTTCTGAGATTGATAACGGCTTTGTAGCATGAACTGTATTTATCAACAGTCTAGTTTTGTAGCGTGTTGGAACCTTAATCCGCTGTGGCCTGTTGCTGTTCACTTTTGTTCTGAGAAATAAATTTATGGAAATTATGAATCATGCAATACCATGGGGGTGATGTTAATTTTTTTTATTCATCCAAGGAATGTGGGCGTCACTGGCTAAGCCAGCATTTATTGCCCAGAGAGCAGTTAAGAGTCAACCACATTGCTGTGGGTCTGGAGTCACAAGTAGGTCAGACCAGGGAAGGATGACAATTTCCTTCCATAGAAGGGCATTAGTGAACCAAATGAGTTTTTTTCTGACAAATAACAATGGATTCATGGTCATCATTAAGGATCATCATGGATCAAGGAAAACCCTAAAACTTTCTATAGGTATGTCAGGAATAAAAGAATTAGAATCCCTACAGTGTGGAAACAGGCCCTTCGGCCCAACAAGTCCACACCGAACCTCAGAGCATCCCACCCACATCCATCCCCCTATGACCCACCTAATATACACCCTCTACCTCCCTGAACACATTAGGCAATTTAGCATGGCCAATCCACCTAACCTGCACATCTTTGGATTGTGGGAGGAATGACTAGAGTAAGATTGGGGCCGGTCAAGGACAGTAGTGGGAAGTTGTACGTGGAGTCCGAAGAGATAGGAGAGGTGCTAAATGAATATTTTTCGTCAGTATTCACGCAGGAAAAAGACAATGTAGTCGAGGAGAATACTGAGATACAGTCGATTAGACTAGACGGGATTGAGGTTCATAAGGAGGAGGTGTTAGCAATTCTGGAAGGTGTGAAAATAGATGAGTCCCCTGGGCTGGATGGGATTTATCCTAGGATTCTCTGGGAAGCTAGAGAGGAGATTGCAGAGCCTTTGGCTTTGATCTTTATGTCGTCATTGTCTTCAGGAATAGTGCCAGAAGACTGGAGACTAGCAAATGTTGTCCCCTTGTTCAAGAAGGGGAGTAGAGACAACCCTGGTAGTTATAGACCAGTGAGCCTTACTTCGGTTGTGGGTAAAGTGTTGGAAAGGATTATAAGAGATAGGATTTATAATCATCTAGAAAGGAATAATTTGATTAGGGATAGTCAACACGGTTTTGTGAAGGGTAGGTCGTGCCTCACAAACCTTATTGAGTTCTTCGAGAAGGTGACCAAACAGGTGGATGAGGGTAAAGCGGTTGATGTGGTGTATTTGGATTTCAGTAAAGCGTTTGATAAGGTTCCCCATGGTAGGCTATTGCAGAAAATACGGAGGCATGGGATTGAGGGTGATTTAGCGGTTTGGATCAGAAATTGGCTAGCTGTAAGAAGACAGAGGGTGGTGGTTGATGGGAAATGTTCATGCTGGAGTTCAGTTACTAGTGGTGTACCTCAAGAATCTGTTTTGGGGCCACTGCTGTTTGTCATTTTTATAAATGACCTGGATGAGGGCGTAGAAGGATCGGTTAGTAAATTTGCGGATGACACCAAAGTTGATGGAGTTGTGGATAGTGCAGAAGGATGTTGCAGGTTACAGAGGGACATAGATAAGCTGCAGAGCTGGGCTGAGAGGTGGCAAATGGAGTTTAATGCGGAAAAGTGTGAGGTGATTCACTTTGGAAGGAGTAACAGGAATACAGAGTACTGTGCTAATGGTAAGATTCTTGGTGGTGTGGATGAGCAGAAAGATCTCGGTGTCCATGTGCATAGATCACTGGAAGTTGCCACCCAGGTTGATGGCGTTGTTAAGAAGGCGTACAGTATGTTAGGTTTTATTGGTAGAGGGATTGAGTTTCGGAGCCATGAGGTCATGTTGCAGCTGTACAAAACTCTGGTGCGGCCGCACTTGGAGTATTGCATACAGTTCTGGTCACCGCATTATAGGAAGGATGTGGAAGCATTGGAAAGGGTGCAGAGGAGATTTACCAGGATGTTGCCTGGTGTGGAGGGAAGGTCTTATGAGGAAAGGCTGAGGGTTTTGAGGCTGTTTTCATTAGAGAGAAGAAGGTTAAGAGGTGACTTGATAGAGACATACAAGATGATCAGAGGATTAGATAGGGTGGACAGTGGGAGCCTTTTTCCTCGGATGGTGATGGCTAGCACGAGGGGACATAGCTTTAAATTGAGGGGTGATGGATATAGGACAGATGTCAGAGGTAGGTTCTTTACTCAGAGAGTAGTAAGGGCGTGGAATGCCCTGCCTGCAAAAATAGTAGACTCGCCCACTTTAAGGGCATTTAAATGGTCATTGGATAAACATATGGATGATAATGGAATAGTTTAGGTTAGATGGGCTTCAGATTGGTTTCACAGGTCGGCGCAACATCGAGGGCCGAAGGGCCTGTACTGCGCTGTAATGTTCTATGTTCTATGTTCTATGTCCTATGTTCTATTAGATTCTTAATTCCAGATTCTGTTTTAAATTGTTGAATTCACATTTTACCATCTGCCATAGCAGTATTCAAATCCAGGTCCCCAGAACGTTGCCTGGGTCACTCGATTAACAGTCCAATGATAATACCACTAGGCTGTTGCCTTCTACCCTAAGTTATGCTCTGTACTTTTATGGGATATAGGTATTGCTGGCAAGGCTAGAAGTTGTTGGCCATGCCCAGCTGCCTCTTCAGAGTGCAGTTAAGAAGCAACACATGTCTTCCCTGTCTGGAGGCACATGTCAACAAGAGAAGGTAGAGATAGCAGATTTCTTTTTTAAAAAAAAAAGACACAGTGAACTAGATTGTTGTTATCAAACTAATCTTAGTGCCCAGACAACAAGGTGCAGGGCTGGATGAACACAGCAGGCCAAGCAGCATCATAGGAGCAGAGAGGCTGACGTTTCGGGCCTAGACCCTTCATCAGAAAAGGGGGAGGGGAAGGGGGTTTTGAAATAAA